TAAATAGGATGGACAGGTAAATGAATAAGTAGGATGGACAGGTAAATGAATAGATAAGATAGAGACAGGGAAATGAGTAAATAAGATAGACAGGTAAATGAATGAGATGGACAGGTAAATGAATAAACAAAATTGATAGAGCTTACTTAGATACCTGTAAGTCTTTAAAGCATTAAAATGGGACATGTATGACTTTAAAAATTTACTTACTGCTAATGACAATCTAACATTTATGGGAAATTTATAAGCCAAGCATAGAAATGAGCCAAGTGCTTATCGATTATGAGCCAAATAAGCATTCTTATACTTTCATCTTGCAAGTCTTTCATCCGTTCTTCAATGCATAAAAAGCTATAATATTAGTGTCAGTGAAAGTGAAACAGAGAGAGAGGGAGAGAGTGAGAGAAAGAAGAAAAAAAAGTCTCTCAGAAATAATTTTTATTATTATTATATGATTTTACATAATTTCGTATATTAGTTGCAAATATTTGAGAGAAATTAATTTTTGCAGCATTTCATTTTTCTCATTTTGTTTTTTTAAATAAATAAATTGCAAAATTTTGATACAAAAAATATATATAAAACGATAAAAAATAATTAGCACTTAGTCATTGATGATTAAATTATGATTTATAGTTGTAAATAAATGAGTTATTGATGATTAAATTATGATTTATAGTTGTAAATAAATGAGTCATTGATGATTAAATTATCATTTATAGTTGTAAATAAATGAGTCATTGATGATTAAATTATGATTTATAGTTGTAAGTAAATGTAAGTAAAATTAAAATATGTGCAATTTAGTAAAAGTAAGTAAATTTGAAGTTAAAAAACACTAAATATAATTTTAAATATTTTAAATATTCTTGCAAAGATTTTATCAGATGATTTTTAAACATTTTCAATAAAATGTATTCAGTCAAATTAAATAAAAGAAAAAATTATAACTATTTCAAAAAAAAAACAATTAAAATTGATAAATGATTGGAAGTCATTTATATATTGAAAAAAGAGCAATGCTATTTTTAATGATAATATTATTATCATTAAAAAATACTTACTTCTATGATATCATCTTTAATAAGTGACACAAAATTTCAAATCCATAATAAACACTGATAAGATATATTTATCAAATCTTTTTTTTTTTCATATAAAATTGCAATTGCATATAGAAAGTTTATAAAATAAATGTAAAACAATGATATATTATATATATGTTTATCAAATTATATCAAAATAAACAAAAAAGAATGAGAAATACATATATGAAGGAGAATTATGTTTAAAAAAAATGATTTTCGATTAATAATAATAATAATTACTATAATAAATCATTTTTTTTTTATTTAATTAAAAAAAGATAAAATTAATTTAAAAAAAAAATAATAATCATAAATCTTGAAGAAAAAAGTGAAAAAAAAAAAATTTTTTTTTTTTTTACAGTAAATTTTTTTTTAGGTTATATTTTAAAAGAATGTATTAAATTTATCTTTAAAATAGCAATAAAAATAAAATTCATTACAAGAATGCAATCATTTAATCTTATTCATTCTCGAATAGATATTTCTATGAAATGTTCAATTAACATTGGAAAATGATGGAATTCCCTCCCTCTCTCTCTCTCTCTCTTTTCTCTCTCCCTCTCTATCTCTCTCTCTCTCTCTCTTTCGTAAATTTTTAATGAAAAATAAAAAAAAAAAGGATCGCATGAATAAAATCGTTGGTATATAAAATAAAATTTAAAAAAAAAGAAAAAAGTCTCATTGAAAGGAATGTTTGGAATGAAAGGTAACATTGAAAAATAAATGTATGTATCTCTGTGCGTGGATTAATGAATGGAATGAATGGAAAAAAGAAAATTCGAAATTAAAAAATGAAAAGCAAATAAAATATTAAATCGAAGTAATTAAATAATAGTAATAATAATTATTATTAATATATATAATAACAGAATTACTATAGGATAAAAAAATATAGTTATTACTTACTATTGTCATTTTTATTAATATTATTTATTACTATTTCAATTATTATCATTATTATCAATGTTACTACTTATTGTTATTATTATTATTATTATTATTATCAATATTATTATTACTATCATACACAATTTTCTTGCTTCTTTATTTTTCTTCCCATCTTCAAATGATAACATGAACATATTATTAGATTATTACAGCATAATGATAAAGTATTCGTATGATAATAACTTTATAATATTGATTATTATTATTGTTATTATCATTATTATTATTATTATTGTTATCATTTCTGTAATTTATTACTATTATTATTGCTACTGCCATTAATTGATTGAAATATTTGAAACTGTAATGATAAGTAAGACAAAAAAGATTGTAAATGAGATATGAATAATCTTAAAAAAATTTTTTTAAACCTAAAAAATTATCTTTGTGGAAAAGATTTTACTTTTTTTTTTTTTGAAAAAAAGTAAAACATTTTTATTCGATGCTATATTATAGCCAATGAATTGATTGAAATGGCTATTGAAATGGAGAATATTCGTTCCATAGCACAACAGTCAATCATGCTAAAGCATTTTAGACTCTTAAATAAGTAATTGAATATACAAACACACACAGACATACATACATACACACAATGCATACACATTCATACACACACACATACATGCACATACATATACGCACACATTCATACGTACGCATAAACACACACGTACGTCCACACACATATACGCATATATGCACATACACACACATGCACATGAATACATATGCAGCATGCATACGCATAAATGCAATACACGTACACATGCAAACATACAAACGCATAAATGTAATACATACACACGCATACACACACACACACACACATACACACACACATACATATGATTTATGGCCATTTCATCCATGAGTGAAAAGTGACACTAATTGTATAACAGATAATGTCACATTAAGAAAAAAGATTTCATTTTAATCATTTAAGAATTAACAGATCGATAGATGATCGATAGATGATCAGTGTGTGATAGATGATCGATAGATGATCAATGTGTGATAGATGATCGATAGATGATCAATGTGTGATAGATGATCGATAGATGATCAATCTGTGAACTTTTGTAAGTTTTATTTCAAATTGTTCCAATTTAGAAATTGGAAAAAAAAAAATGGATCTTCAACGATTCATTTCTTGAATTTAGAATAACTAGCTTATTTCTATTACAATTGTTTAATGTATGCTAAAATTTATTGATAATGTTAAGATAAATAATTGTTACTTTGTTATTATCAAAATGGAAACTATTAGAAGTATAGTTTAAAATATTTGTATTTATTCATAATTTTCTTTTTTTTCTTTTTTTTTTTGGCAAAAAACATTAGTACAATAAGTTTTTTCATTTCTAATTTTTCTTTTTTCTCCATTTTTAATTACTTACATGAAATATTTTGCAAGGAAATTGATCAAAAATATTTTTTATTTCAATTTATTGTTTATAATTTTGCTAGATTATAAATTTCAAAAGGACTAAGTAGCATTTGAATTGTAAATAATTTCTTTTCATATAGACCAGAAAATAGAGCAAATAATAAAAAAGTCTAAATGATCAAAAGCGCTTTTTTTTTATAAATAAAACTATTTCTTGAATAGATTACTTCTTTTCTGGCTTTATCAACTTTTTAAAGTAATTGTTGCACAACAGAATCTTGCAACTTTTATCATCTTTGCATATATTTTCATCAAAAAGAAAACGTCACATTACATTCCATCAATTTTAATCTTTTATAAAAAAAAATGTAAAATTTAAAACACTTACTATTCAATTCACTATCGTAGAATTTGTCATAGAAGAAAGATACTAATGTTTAAATGCTTACATGCTAACAAAAATCAGGATTTGCAATTTTAAAATACTTTAAAAAATTGCAAAAGTAATTCCTAACTCACACTATTTAATACATGAAATACAGGTAATAAACAATAAGTATAAAGGTAATAAAAAATCTCAATCATTATTTCAAAGTATCGTACGATTACCTTGAAAATATCATAAGATATACTAAATCCCTAATATTTTGTGGTACTTTTAAGCTATCCTACACACTTTATAAACAAAAGAAATTAATTTTGTGAAAGATAGCTTAAAAGTACTATAAAAATATGAATAAGCTAAAGTATGTGTAGAAAGAATGTTGAAAAAAGCAAAAAATTTAGATTGTATAATTCTCATAAATTTATAATCAATCAATTTAAGTAATCAAAATAGAAGTAAAAAGAATAAACAAATAAAGGCTTAGATTTAATATTAGATAAAAAGAAGGAATTAGAAAAAATTTAAAAAAAAAATTTAAAAGAAAATAATATTAAATTAGATAAAAAGAAGGAATTAGAAAAGTCGCCGAAAAGTTCACAAAAGATTTGCAAACTGATATCCAAAGAATTTATTCAGAAAATAAATTTGCAAATTTTAATGCTTGTTTCTATGATATTCTAAAAATTTTCATAGATTTATACTAAACTTAATCTATTTCACTGAATAAATGCTTCCTCGATATCAAATCCTCGCCGACTACTACTACATAATATACTGATTTTTTTATATAATGATAAAACTGATAAACAATATGAAAACTGCTAATTCATCATTAATACTAGTTCATTTCAAATAAAACTACTATGATAAAATTATTTGAAATATTTGATAACAAAAAAAAAAAAAAAAATAGAGTGAAGTGTAACTGAATATAATAACAAAATGCTTATTCATGTAGCTTTGTGACGCATTCCTTAGGGATTGCGTTAATTATTGCATTCACTGCTGGATAGCTAAAAGTACATTGATAAGGAAGCTATTTCAGGTTATAATTTTTCCGCAAAACAAAATAATTCGATTTTTTTCCTAATTCAATTCTTGAAAATTCAAAAATATCAACACGATTAATTGTCTTTTCAATTAATGTGTAGAAAATATATATAAATAATGTAGAAAATATAAAAAATTATTACCTTGACAACGATTTCTGACATCCAACCATTATTAACTTATGCTTAGCTCTTGTGATAGCCACATTAATTCGCCGGCAATCAGCAAGTAACTCACTTTTTCGATTTTCTGCTTCACCGGTCCATACAAAACTTAATATAATAATCGACTTATCTCTACCTTGATACTGATCAACAGTATTCACTTCAATTCCTGCTTGAACTATTCGGCGTAATTGTTCAACATGATAACGATAAATACTGATGACACCAAGATCACTTTCTGATAAACCTTGCTGAAGCTAACTTCATTTGTTATTTAAATTATGCAAATAATTAGTTACGAAATACATGCTACAATGTTTTTTTTAAGAATTTTTTAATTAAGAATTTAAAAAAAATAAATAAATAAATAAACAAAATAAGCAGCACACAATCATATCTTTCAGGTGCTAACTAACTTTAACAAATAATCTGCAAAGGCCTGCAATAAATTCCGCTTCTCCACTATTAACAACATCGCCAAAGTTACGAAAAGTTGCACAAAATGCTGGATTCTTGTATGATTGCGTATCCACAAATACGATAGCATTATTTAGTAAATTCGAAACACAAAGCTTATATGCCTCTACAAAACTTTTTTTTCTTGCTTACAATTGACTAAGTGATAACATTCATGACAAGAACAACAAAAATTCTAAAAAATATTTCTATTCAAAAATAATTAAGAGACATTGTTGAAATCTGATTAGTTAGAAATGTAATCGCAATTTAGTATGTTTTAAAATTTTTAATAATTTCTGATCTTAATTATTAATTAAATGCACCAGAGTAAGTACTGTCATTGATGGGATCATAGGTCAAGTTGTTAAGAACTGCTTCAGCTATAATATTATTCGCACAGCAAAGTTTGCCATCATAAAACAGAACGCTGCTAAGTTCCGCAATCGGTCTAAAAATTGCTTTGTTCATGTTAAAATACCTTTGGAAATTATTTAAATGGACTGCATAAATTTGCATTTACATGTTTACCTGTTCATCCGATACTGTGAATGTAATGTGATTATAGCTGAATGATGAATGGTTAATCGTTCCAACAGTGATTTTGCCAAACCTTCTTGCCTAAGGTAGTAACTATAATTACTGATTCAATCATTATTCTCAATTTCGATTTAATTATTATAGATTTGTTGTAAGAAGGAAAAGAAAATTTATTATTACATGAACTGCAACATTTGAAATGTAAAAGAAAAACGATTAGTTTTAATGATAAATGAATTTTAATACTCATTCTTTAAACAATGATCGAGTGAACTCAGCTTCTAGTTACTATTTTATCATTTTTATGGTTTACTTACTTGAGAATTGTTAAGTATAAGAAAAAAAAAAAAAGAACAAATACCTAGCTTGCTTGGAACAAACAAGTGGAGCAAGCTGTCGATGATCACCAACAAGTACAAAAGAATCCGAAGCAGCAATTGCAGGAATAATAACAGGTTCCAGTACCAAAGATGCTTCATCAACAACTGTTATTGAAAAACGACGATACGAAAATAGCAAATTAGTTGATACACCCAAACAAGTACATGCAACAATGGGCTAAAATTTACAAGAGTTATAATCATGGAAAAAAATTAAAAATTAATTAATGATTAAAATTTGGGTGATACAATAATGATTTAGAAAATACAATATAGTTCATACAGAGATGGAAGAAAAAAAAGAAAAATTTACCGTTTCCATTAAGATATGTTGCATTAATGAAATTCTGTCCATTTTGCTCGGTTTAGACAACTTTGCTTCTAAAGTCAAATGTCGCATACTTTTGTTTACGGAAATTTGTTGTCCTAATCGTAGAATCTTACTTTCATCAACATACTGAAATAGCAATTTTCTTTGAACCATAAAAAGTTTTACTTCAATCGATAATTCCTCTATGTAACAATGAAAAAAACGATTTCTCAATTCAAAAAAAATGAAAAAAGCATTCCTCAGTTTTGAAAAAAAAGAACACTTGACAATTTTGTTTTAACAATTTCTCAATGTGACAAGATGTTTAGTTATGAAGCAGTTAGAACAACTGATAACTGATAGAAATTAAACAATAAATCTTGCATTCAGAAAATACATTCAGCAATTTCTCATTTTAGAAACACATTAAAAAAAAAAGAGAACTAATAACTTCAATAAGCTTCGAAAGAAGATTGTCAATTGCTGAATGAGTGTAGGAGGTGATAAGAACTGTGCGACCCAAATGAATAAGACAACGAATTAACACTGCTAATGTGCTTGTTTTTCCTATAATTATGATTTAGATTTATTAATTATTGATCCATTCTCCATTTACTGATTCAATCAGTAAAGGAATTATAAAACTAAAATCGATTACTGTTTTATAATTGACAAAAACTGAAGTTGAATATTTAACCTCTAAGATTTTTTTTTTAGATCTTTTGTTTTACGCGGTTTTATTCTTTATTTTCGTTTGGTCTCTATCAGAACTCATTATTGTGAATAATTTGTGAATAATTTGTTTACCAGATCCAGGAAATCCTTCAATAATTGTATAATCATCAGACATAAGAGATTTCACAACTGCACGTGCTTGATCAATATTTAATTGTCGTACAATTCCTGATATGTCACTTATATTTCCTTTCTTCATCTTTGAGAATAACGGTGGTCTCATATCAATTATAAGAGATCTAATTTTTGACCTGTATAATATATAAAAACTTATAAATTTTATTTACGGTGATCAATTAATAAAAAATGAAACAAAGAAAGTATTTCAATTCTCCAAATTTTTTCAATTCTTAAAATAATATTTCCTTTTGAGAAAGATAAATTGAAAAACAAAGGAATAGAAGGAAAAACCGACAGATTCAAGAAATCTACATACATTTGCTTGTTATCATCCATTAGCATTACTAAATTTCCAAGATTAAGAGTGTGCTGAAAAGAAGTTTCATGTCTCTCAAGGAGATAAATTTTTCCAACAACAAATGAACTACTGTTGCCATTTACAGCAACGTCGATAAAGTTTCCTGTAAAATTCAACTTTTTTAATGATGAATCTAAGTTTATTCCAAAGCGAGATTTGTTTTACATTGCGAAGTGAACTTTTAAGAATGTGATGCCACAAATAGACCTACTAAAGACAAACATTTGAACCACCATTAATTTTTGTGCATTATGCTAAAAGTGGAAGAATAGCAGAATATTTTCATGTATAATAACCTAATCTACCAAAGATGAAGCGAGCGCTCTCATCACTAAATGACCAATTATACAAAGCAACTATAACTCCAGAATTTACGTATGACAGAAGGACACTATTCCTATATTTTAACTCAATAAATAGAAATGGATTGGATGCATCTCAAATGGATGAAAAATCAGCTTACCTTCAACGGAAATTACAGAAGCCATAGCAATGACTTCACTCTCTTTAGAAAGAACTAACAACATATCTCCTTTTATGAACAATTCATTTTCATCTACTGCTTCTTCTCTGGATATAGACAGATTTTATTATACAGCAATAAGCCAATGAGTTAACTTAAATAAGACGCTAAACTAAAAATGTTTAACTGAATAGCTTTTTAGAGAGGAAATGATATTTGTATGAGAGAAGAAAGAATTTACCTCTGAAAAGTAATAGTAGTTCTATTCCCTCGTTGGAAAATGGAATCAAGGATAACTTTTACACTTAATAATGAATTCTTCCTGAAAATCATTTTAACTGCCTATTAAAGTATTACATATTAAAGTGAATAACTGTAGTTTTTTCTGATAATAGAATCTGACTAAGTGAAGCATTAAAGAATATCTATGAAGTGAAAAAACCTCCTGCATATATTTTCTTTATCAATTGCATTTTTCTCTGTTATGTATCTCCACTCCATTAATATCAAACGAATGAATCGTTTAAAATAATCAATGTGACTTTCCTTAAGATGTTTTAACTGATCTTGGACGATTTCGGTGGCAGTTGATGTAGAATATTGCAATAAGGAACATGACAAGGCATGATTGCACCATTTGCAAATATGTGTATTGAGGATCGGTTCTACAAAGATAACAATAAAATCTTCCATTATTATTGCCAGAGCAAAAGTTCGCATAAATTTAAACTAAAATGCGAAAAATTTCTATGAAAAAATTTTTTCAGTATTTCAATAAACAACCATTGTACAAAAATTGAACTAGCATTTCCGCCGTTAATTGATTAAACACAAAAATTTTTGAATATACAGAAATCGGTAAAAAAAAAAAAAAAAAAGAAAAATTTTCTGACACAATGATGTCTGAAATTTGCATGTTTAATAGTCAAAGATGACCTGGAAGATTATCAAATGAAGTATCACTTATGCTTGAGGCAATTTCATTGCGCATTTGTAGGATTCCTTTGAGATCGATTGTTTTGGGAGACACAGTTCGAGAGGTCTCATCCAGCAAATACAGAAGTAACCCGCTTTCAATTGTTCTCTTTAAAAATTGATATATAAATATAAACAAATATTCTTTATTTCCATTGAGATTGTTTTTATGATATCTTGTCTGATGTATTTATTATTACTTTCCAATAATTTAATGTATAGCAATATATCTGAATGCGAAACTCTTGAAATTTAGAACTACAGTCTGTACCAACAACATCTAAAACCTCTATAATTATGTTATTCAATGATGTGAAATTCGGATTCAAATTGTATGGGAGTATTCTTGGAAACAAACGAGACGAAAGTGGAAGTATCTGGATATAACACCAACCTGTTTTGAGGCTAGAGCAAGACAATAAAGCATGACCTGTGTAATATGCTCTGTATTTGGATTTGACTTGCCAGTTTTCAATTCTATAGGGATCAGTTTTTTCTCTCCATTCTTCTTTTCTACCGGAAATTTGAAATAATAAAAGTTCTCTTCGAAATGTTTGGAAAGCTCGTACTAATAACATGCGAGTGAATTTTTATTGGAGAATGTATTAAGTTAATCCTATCAGCTGCATTTTACAAATAAGAAAAAAGAAAACCTTCAAAGTGCAATCAATTTTGGCTTTAAAACCATAACATGAATTCCAGATGGATTCCTCAACATCCACCACTTCCATTATTTTCGAACCTGTCTGCAAGGATTCATTTCGACCTTTTGGCGATGACATATAAGTTGACACCCAGCTAGCAATCGTTTTAAAATAAACACACAGTTCATCTTCAACCTAAATAAAAATTCGAATAATAATTCCAGCAAAAAATCGCTCCAAAATCTATGGAAAACCAAAAATAAACCTCTTGAAATGAAAGGTTCAAAGCAAAAAATTGCTCAGCATATTGCTCATGCAACTCTCTTCGCCACAAATCAAGTAAACTGTTCTCAGTAACATCAAAACCTGAACGAGTAATAGCAGCCTGAAAATAAGATAAAAAATAACTTGAAAAAAAATTTTAATCAGCACTTTCATTTTTGTATTGACTACTTTTTTAGTACAAGAATCTCACTTACTACTTTAGATACAGACAATATTTCATCTTAGTTGTGCTTACTTTTTTGTGGATAAGAAATCAAGTTATCTCATTGAGTTAATTAGGCCATCATTCAGAAAAATGGACGATGAAAACATCAATGGGTAAATTATCTAATTAATAACACATACCTGGAAGAGTTCGTGAACCACGCTTCCAATCAACATTTCCTTCCTTATACTACTTCGTCCTTTGAAGTAATGCGAAAGCGTTGCCTTCCGACGACACGAGATACCTTGCGCGATAAGTGTACATGGAACCAGTACATTACTTTCCACGATTAATACACCATTTTCCCAGTTCAACAATAATTCCTAAAATGTAATAAGTAAACAAAACAATTTCAGTTACTTTTATACTTTTAAAACAATCCTGCACATTTTTGTATTGGAAAAAAAAATTAATTTGCAGTAACAAATTTTAATTTCATAATTGAAGAATGAATAATCGTACTATAAGATTACTTTTTCTGTCATTTTAGCACCAATAACACGTAGAGAAGATCCAATCTTGATTGGAGTAGACGACCAAATTCCTTCTAATTTCAAGCGGTAACTTTTAGATGTATCTTCACAAATGCAATCCAATTCACGAATCTCATCATTATTATTATCAGAAAGCGAAATAACACGAACATTAATGATGGATGATTCAATAGACCCAAAAGGAATGAATGAATCCTGGATGTCTGTAATGAATGAATGAAAGTCATTAATTCGGATAATGCAAAAAAAAAAAAAAAAAGATGAAATTCAGTAAAAATAATTCAGATAGAAAGAGGATGAATTTGCTACAATAAGTGCAATAAAGAGATAACTTAATTAGTCGTAATAAAAAAATAGAGAAAACTGAGATGAAATGAGTGAATTTTGAATCAAACAATGATTATCTAACACTTAGGTTCATTATAAGTTGGTAAGCATAACGGATGTTTTTTTTATGGAAGAATTAAACAGCAATAAACGAATTATATATATTATATTACACATATAATGAATTATAAATATTGTATTATATATATAATGGAATGAAAATATGATTTAACTTGATAATTAAATTCCATTATATATATAATACAATATTTATAATTCATTGATAATAATTAACATAAAATTAGATTTATATAGTTTCAGATTTTACCAGCAATTAAAATTATTATTCTACCTCGTTCCACATAATTAACTGATAAACGTTTTGGACGTTTCCGTGGTGGTGTACAATCAGTGGAGATACGATTGACAAGTGTCGTAGTTGATAACACTGAATCATTGATATCATTGGTAATAAATCCACCATCATTTTCTTTCCATGAACTGCTTTCCGGTAATTCCATCATACCATCACCGAATAAAACCTTAACTTGTAAAAAATTGATATTTGCATAAGTTGGAAAAAAATAGAAAATTAAACAGTGATAAATTCAATAATGTAATATAATATATTCATATAAGATGATAATTATAATAGTGTATAATGATTACAAACATTATTTGCTCTCAAAAAAAAAAAAAAAAAAATTTACTCATTCATATGAAATGTCTCTTAGATTACCTACACTTCAAATGATTATCATTATATTTATCCATATCAGAAGCACTCAGAGTAATTACCATTATACTTACTTATATCCAAAATCATTCGCATACCTAATCAGTTCGTTATTCATATCAGATGATAATGACAATATTGTTTAATGATTACAAATATTACTTGCTCTCAAAAAAAAAAAAAAAATTAACTCATCCATATGAAATATCTCTCAGATTATCATCATAGTTAATCATATCACAAACACTCATACTTAGAGTAATCATCATTATATTTACCTATATCATATCTACTCTGTTTTTTCACCTAAAATATCTCTATTTATCTTTACTCTCACAAAATATCTCTATTCCTCTATGAACAACAAATTAATCACCCATTTGGTTTATGTCAAACCATGAAATATTTTTCATATACCTTTTATTATTACATACTTTTTATTTAGTATTTGTCTCTTATCAAAAAATATTGTTTGTCACTAATTAAAAGATACCAGTTGTTACCAATTAATTAATTATCATATGCAATCATCAGTTTATTTATTCCTATAATAGTTCCCTTACCCCGCCTCCACTAAAAAAAAATCAAAAAATTTAAAATTTTTAAATAAATTCAAATTCTTGGCGTCACGCCAACAATCCAAATTATAACCTAATCATCTATCGCAGCAACATCTTTGCATTTGTGTGGCACGTACGGTCTGGTGTTGTAGGTCGAAGTGACGTGGCGTTGACGTAGTGGTGTGGAGAATTGTCGTCGCTTACTTTCCTGCTAAGTCAAGTGAGGTAGTGTGACGTAGTAGTGTGAAAGGTCATCGCTTCCTTTTCTAATTTTGATTGTGAGTTTTTCGTGGCATATACAAGAAAATTAGTTAATCCTTTGCAGATTAACCGTACTCTGCAGTTATGTATTATGAGCGCTTAATAACTTATGAATTAAATTACTAAACATTCGTTTTTACTGTATTTAATTCTTTTAAATTGTCAGAATTATATAATTATTCAAATTTTTAGTATGCAATAGAGTGTAATGTCAGATAACAAGGATATCCGAAAAGTAGAAGGTAAGGAACATGACCAACAGCAATCTCAACAGTTCATGGAGAAGACGAAAGGAAGTGGAAGTTTGGGAATGGTAGCTAGTGAGGGCAAATCTGATAGTCAGCATGGAAGTATGTTTGGCAAGAGTTTGCGGGAAGCTTCTATCTTTACTGGTTTGTTTTTCTTTTACAATCATTTCCCAGCAAATATGACTCTGTGATTAAATAATACCTGTCTGGTAGGTTGTAGGAGGTATTATATTAAAATGTTAGCAAAGATAACATAAAAATGTTATGTTTCTGAGTTTTTTCATAGATGATACTTTCTGAAACTAAACAGAAAACTGGAAGCTGTAATGTATTTTAGAAGTTAAGAAGTGTGGTACAGTAATATGTCTATCAGGAAGGAAAAATGCTAGACGTTAGATGTTTTTTTTTTTTTTTTTTTTTTAAAGTAAGCACAGTTAAAGTGCTTAGGATTTCTTGATCAAATGAATTAAGTAGTAAGTTAAGTCGATTTTTTTGTCAAAAGGAAAAAGTTTTTTTTTTCTTTTTTTAAGGTTCACAGTTGAATCCACTCTTTCCTTTTGGAGGCAGTTATGATGATATTTTTTCAGAAGATACTTTTTCGGAAGATGCTGTTTTGTTTGCTGAGCATGCTTCAGCTGAACAAGGGTCGAGAGATAATACATGCGATGTGACTGAATTGAAGAAAGAAAAAGTTCAGCTGGGTATGTTTGACAAAAAATTCATTACATGAATCCAGTTCTGGAGCTTCTTAGCTACAGTGGGTAGCATAATGTGAAGACTTACTATTGGTACTGATAACTATGACCCTGATTTTTTATAACTTGATTCCTTTATTAATTCCATCTTTCTTGATGATGTACAAGATATCAGGCTATAAAAATATGAATTTTAGAACATGTTTTATTTATCACAAACGAAGAGTTGGATGCAGTTCGGGATAAATTATACAGAGTTAGTGAAGCAGAAAATGCACTGAAAAAGGAAATTGAGGATTTACTGCGGGATAGAAGTCAACGGATGGCTGCGATGCGAGAATTGGAAGCTGAACGTGATCGTATATTACTTGCAAAGGTATTTGAATGACCAATAAAATTTTCACTTCTAATTTGATTTCATTTAGATATTCCAAAATTACGTTTTTTTTTTTTTTTTTTGGTCCTAGATTTTAATCCTGGAAACTAAAATTTCAGAATGAATCTGAGCAGAAGGCTGAGATGTTGTTGCGCCAAAAAGAGGATTATGAAGGAAAAATTAATCGCTTAAATCACGACAAATCGCTTATTGCAAGTAACTTTTGGATATAATTTTACGTTTCTTGCTAGATGACAAAAGTTGAACTATCAATGTTGTTCTGTGTTTGTTAATGATTGAGGAAGCTTGTGTTGTAAACATTTGATATTTCAGCATATCTTATTTTAAGTTTCAAAACAGTGAGAAGTTTCTTCATGTTACAACGAAACATTCAGATTTCATGATTTTAGGTGGTACATTATAGCAACTTAACCGTCAAATCCATGATAAATTAGCTCACACGTGAATGTGGATTTCAGAGAATCTTTTGAAATTTGATGATCCGTTTTACTGTATTTGCAGGCGATTTGCAGCTGCAGAAAAATGAGGTAGCGAAATTGATAGAAAAGAATGTTTCGTTAGATGTCAAACTTGATGAGTATGCCAAGCAAAAGCGAATGGTTGAGGTTCGCTGTTTCGTATTGGAAATGAATAGTGATTAAATTTTGCGATTAGCTATTGGGGATGAATATAATTCCTGAAGCTTGTAATTAAATTTTGAAAAATGAATGCCTTGATTGTTTTAAAAATTACATCCTTATGGAAGCAACTGCTCATATTTTTATCTTTCGTCAATATAGTTCATTTTATTTCAGTATGAAAAAGAGCGTTGGGCTCAAGAAAAAGAAATATATTTGCACAACAAAGATTGGTTTATGAATGAAATTAAAGAGCGTGATCGAAAATTTGCTGTTTTAAGAATCGAAATGGTAAAATATAGATTTAATTTTGTGTGAGGATGTATTAGCCTTTTTCAGTAATATGATATAACAAAAGAGGAATGGATGAACCGATAGGAGAGTAGAAAGAAATGTTTCTTAGTGAACTGGTTTCGTAGAATATTCAACTATTTTGTCAAAAAGGTGTTTATTCATCTAGGACATAAATATATTGTGTATGATTTGTTTATGCGACTTGTTTTTCTTATTTTCTTATTCATCTGCGATTACACAAGCTTTGGTTCTCACCATCTGAATTCATTGTTAAATGAATTGACACTTTAGGAAAAATCGTTATTTTTTAACATCATATAGAAAGTGGATTACGAATCTTGATAGTCACATTGAAATATTTGAATATTTAAATAGGGTTATTTATATTAATTATATGTATGTATATATATATATATATATATATATATTAATTATATTCTGCCTGTAAAAAGAAATGACTCAACACCGCCGTGATGGCAAACGCGTAGTTTCGTAGATTGCAAGATGGACCACATTAAAAGCCTTATAGTCAAGAGAAATAAATGCATTATTTAAATTACCCAATCGCAGTGGACAGTATCGCTTCTAAACGAATTTTGAAAGAAATTTTAGCAGGAAATGTTGTTATTGAATCTTGCATTTAGTTGTTTCCTTTTTTTGGACTATAATACAAAGTTGAGCTGTAGGTGCGATACACCGGTGAACTGCAAGCAGAAATAGCATCTGTTACGGACAAGTATGAATCTGCAATGAATGATGTTAAGAAATTTACAACAGCACTCGCTGATCGGGACAAGGAAATGTCTAGATTAAATGACCGTATTAAAGAGGTAATGATATCGAAATTTTAATGTCTTTGATGTCTTTTTTTTAGAGGCTTAATGATCTGATGTTCATTTACAGTATTTTATGATTCGATCTCTTTTACAGATCTTAGAAGATAATGCACAAAAGCTGAATAAACTGGAAGAGGAATTGTTAGCGAGTGAACGACTTTGTTCTGTTTACAAAGAAGCCAGTGATGATGCAGAAAATAACTTGCGGCAGCTTAATGAAGATTTTGATAATCGTGGAAGATTACTTGAAGAATCGAAAAAAGGTTCAAATGTTATTGTTTAATTTACAGTACTTATAGAAATCAACTTTTTGTATATTTAATTATTACTTTCTGAAAGAAGAATGAAATTGCTACGATTTCCTTTCACCAAACTACGATTTTTATAGCTTATGAATCACTGTGCGTTGAATTTGAAGAAAAGCAAGCAGTATTCACTAAAGAAGTCGTTCAAAAAGGTTAGTCCAGACATGGTTTTGAAATCAATTTAGTAGAGAATTCTAGAGCAGAATTCTCTTCTGTAGAAAAGGTTTAGGTTTAATCAATTTCAACTGCAAGTTTTCCGTACTGTTGTTGTTGTTTTACGGCAATTATCTTACCTATCATTCATTCATCCTGAAATAAGCAGCAATATTTTGCTTAATAATATATGTGATATCTGGTGCACTCATCATATTCTTGAGCAATCTTCCTTACATCAAAAGAATGATAGTCTGTCTCCTTTCATCTTGCTCTAAAATTTTGTAGCCACTTTAATGTAAATAGGTGTGTTGCGTGATTAACTTAGTTAATAAATTTCTCTCATACAAGAAAATATTTTTTAGATAAAAAAATTGAAGAGTTGTTGGACGAATTGCAGAAAGCTAATGATTTATTGAAAT